TCATTTGAATTTCTCTCTTCTGCATTGCCAACTACTAGACCCGAAACTTGTAGCTCGAATTGCACCTGGTTGGCGGCGGAATTAGGTTGAGTGATAAACACAAGAGTTGTAGCCCTATCTCTTAGCTTTAATTAGCCATTTGAATCACCTCAATCCGAGTTGTAGGTAGAAAGTTATGCCCAAAATATGAGAATTATATCAAAACAGGAAATTTCCCGATTTTTGTGCATACATATCAAATCCGATTTCAATGGATTCTCTCCTTCGTGGCTACATCATAGAGCATCATTGCTGCATGGTCATTCATTTATGATTATCTTGATCAATTAAATCAAATTCCTCCTTAAAATTGCATAATTAAACTCCAAATCATCTTGCAAGACAATTTTATTAACTAATGCAATAGCATACTAATTCTAAAAACATTATTATCAAAATCATCAAGTTAGAGGTATGAAAATATGTACAAAATATAGGCTTATCATATACTAAGTGCTCCTAAAACAAGTTGTGGTAATCAGAGTGTATCTCAATTCTGAATCAGTCATGGAAACCTATCTTATCTTGTAGGAGCATAGTAGTTCAAAGGAGGGTGCTTAGGCTTATTAACAAGCTAGGTTTTCGAGTCTTTTCAATATTAATGGTTAACAATGTAGCCACATATATAGCTAAAATACTTCTGGTACAGGTGTAATATGGGCGTGTCGGGCCTTGCCCGGAATCTCTCAAGGGAGAAGTTTGGGACAGCTTGAGGCCCAAGCTCAAGGCTAGGAGTGGCACAATTTTTTAAAAATTGAAAAAATAATGACAAGTTAAAATAAATTAAGAAGATAAATAAAAAATTGAAAAAATAATATCTTAAAATTTTATTTAATATGAAGTTTGATGTATACAATTGTTTATATATAGAATAATAAAATAAAATTAAAAAAAATTACAATAAAAATGTATTATATATATGTTCGTGTATAATGGACCGTGGGCCTCAAAAATCACTAGTCTAATTAACCTAAAATAAGATATAATAAGAGGTTGTTTTAGCATGATTGGGAAGGGAAGAGAAAACATATATAATCCATTCCACGAAATAGGCAAAGAAAGTGGATTAGTTAGGATAGGTTTTGCTTATTGAATAAGCAAGGCTAATAAATAAATTAAAAGCCACTGAAGTAGGTTGAAGTGGGGCTCAACCTAGGATGGCCCAGAACCAGCTAAGCTAATTAACCCAATTTGAAGTGACGTGCCTTGACAGTTCAACGACTGCTTCAAGGCAGCCTGCAGCCTGGTGCCTGCCACACTGTTCTTTCTTCTGTGCCCCTCCTCTTAACTCTTACAACTTCTATCACCTCAATTCAGTAAACCTGAATTCCAAAAAGCCTGACCCGACTGCCTCACGTCCTCCCTGTACCAAGTAATCCTCCAAAAATTTTTATAAGGGACCAAGTAATACTCAGCTCGATTCGATTAATTAATCAAGTCGCAATCCTAAACATCTTATGGTAAAACATTAAAATTTTAATATTAATTTATTTATAATTGACTCTAATCGAGCTGAGCTCAACTAATTTCTGAGTATCAAAACTTGAGTCACCGTTTTTTATATAGGTAAGCGTCACATACGATACATGTAATTGTCAATCAGTCGACCGTTGGGGGAAACGATTCACTGATGCATGAAACACCTACGTGGCATTTCATGCATCGGTGGAATCCCAATTTACGAGGTATGCCAGTTTTTTAACATTTTTTCAAAAAATGCTTGAACCAAACAATCATATATGTGAGCATTTGTTGAAACGTCTACATTGATCTAACGTGACACTGTTTTTCAGAAAAACAGCCACGGTTCCAAACATCCCCTTTAATAACCCAATACTCGACTCGGCTCAACTCGGTTCTGCTTAGAACTCGGTGCTCAAGTTTATCGGTGAGTCAGATGAGGTCAGTCTTTATCAGGGTACGTTGGATTGAATCTGACCTGACCCACCTCAAATCCGACCCATTATTAAAAAGATGTAAATAAGATCCAAGCTTAGGTTTGTTGGAGACTGGAGGACGGATTGGATTCGGTAATCCTATTCCATTTAGGGTTGGGTTCAGACGTTCAGTTGGTGCAAGTGTACGTGCAACTTAATTTAGGTTCAACTGAACAAACCAAGATTATACTAATAACCAGTTAATTTATGATGACAGGTATCCAACACTTATTTTCTGCACTTTTCACTGCACATCCATTCAATTACTTGTGTATGGAAGTGCAGGAAAAAGATGAAGGAGATCCAGAGGATGGGACTAGAATCATGGGGCAACTTTCAATATTATTTAGTGATATCTATCCTTAGAATTATTGAAAGAAAACTAGTTAATGGGATGATCAGGATAGGCCATATAATAATGCTTTATCATAGATCTGATGATTATTTTATGGTTTGTGAATGACTCAATCAAGCAATTACAAGCACAATACAATGAAGTCTCATATTGTTTTCTAGCTCTTTTCTTGAGAATTCTATATTCCATCTCTGAATTATTTTTTTTCAATGCTACCCACTTACAAAGGGAAGCTACTAGATCTGAAAGCATTTTTAGTCCTCCTTTTCCTATATCTCATCATTTCATTTATTTATTTATTTTCTTCGTTTCGTTATGGTTACAATGAATCAATCATGGAAGGTAGGTCACAGTCAAATACTTGAGATTTCCATTGCATCCTTTTGAGTGGTAAAGCATGCGTTGAGCACTCACTGAAGGTGGGACTTTATCTCTTCAGTCTTTCATCTCATCATCGATCAAGAATTTCATCAATATGCAGACCATCTTCAGCTCTTCTTTAATTAATGCAGCTGCTGCAAATTAAACCATTTGTTTGGATGATCAAAACTGGTCAATCTCTGGTTTTTTATTTGTTTATTGATCCATTTACGAGACTTCCAGCTTACGTGACTTGCGCGGCCCCCCACCGACAGCACCAACCGCATAGATAAACTGGATGAATCAAACTCCATTATTAATTTATCAACTGGCTGATGATGAAGACTTTCAGAGTCATCAGTCATGGGGACCATTAATTCTAATTGCTTGAGATCTAATGGGATAATTCTGTATTAATTTCTGTTTATTTTGATGAGCTGACTGCAATTCCATGAACTGTGTTGTTGCTGGGTTTTTGCCTCTGAAGAAATTCCAGATTCCCAGGTGGGTCAGTGTGGATGGAGAGGCTGCATATGTCGTTGCACACTTGCATTGACAGGGTTAGGCCTAGATAAGAATGACAACTCCAAGAACAGGACTACCCCACACCCACAGACCCACGCACAGCGTTGAGCCTCTGTGTGTGAGAGAGAGAGAGAGGTAGACATCTCGCCTTGCTGGAACAAAACCATGAAAAAGCTTGTGGGACCTCCAACTGTTGCTTGATTTGTTCAGCTACGACTCTATAAAAGAAGCAGCAGCCCAGTTGCGATGAAGGAGAAACAGCACTGAAGACATGGCTACCCACTGCATTAATTGATCTGGTCCCCCGGCCAACTCCAATTTGCTCATCAAGCGTGGGTTTTACACCAAAGCTACTAGAAATGCCTACACCCTTATTTCTTCTTTCCTTCAATTTCAGTTACATCTGATCACTCCTTCACATGTGTGAATTCACTATTCAGTGATGGAGTGTCAAATGAACAGAACCAGAAGGAAAGAGTGATCCATCTGGGTCCAATAAATCTTAGATATATCATCAGTTTTTGTTCAGATTGGAACAAGTGTTCTTTCCGTTTCACTCCCCTCCTCCCCCAACCCACACCGAAACCAAAAAAAAAACATATTGAGTTAACAAATATGCAACTCTTTTAATTTGTTCTTCGCCCAACAGACATGGTGAGAGTTGAGAGCATGAAACAACATAAAACAAGACAAAGTTGGATTTGTCTTGCCATGGCTCAGACCTTGTTGTGTAGAGAGAGCCAAAATTTGCTTAATGTGGTTATTTAATTAATACTTAATAGAATATCCAAGCATTCCTTTGGGGTTTGGGAATTCTAACTCAAGGACAATAATAGATAGGGAAATTTATGCTAAACAGGTCCATGACAGTTTATTATTTATTTATATTAATAAACAAGTATATTTTATTTTAAGGATTTAGGGTAGCATTTTCATGAATAAAAGGAATTATTGAGAATATAAATAGACCCATTTCAGAAGAGTCACACCCCGGGATACTTTCTCTCTAATTTTCTCAAAATTTCACCATTTTTAATATTTTACTACCAAAAATCTGCCCAACACAGACAAATATGTATGAAGAAGGTTTGTCTAGACGGCTCAGTTTGGTGTATTCTCTGAGACAACATTGGCTCCATATATACCCCACCATTAATTGGATCTTGGATCTTTCCCAAGTGATATTAACATTTGAAAGCTCCAGGTCTTTCTTCGCAAAATGCCTAGAAAAGGGCTTAGTTTCATGAACTGATGGATGGAGGAGAATGCATCCAATGGAAGATAGAACCCTTTTAAGCAGCCAGCTATGTCCCCCACCTCCCACCCTTCTCCCTGGTAGAAGCTCTTCTGTAAATGACTCAGCTCTAGCAAAACCACAAATAATGGCGTATACGTTTATAGTTGATGTGAACCTGGAGTGAACAAGCAATGATTTCAGAAGGGTTTACCATCCAATGGAAGGCTTGGTTTGACTGAAATGAGAATTTATTTAGAGAAATAGCCTAAACAGCTAAACTGATCCAGTTTAGAAAATTATTTTCATACATAAATACATACGATACAGAGACTGAGAGAGGGTTTATTTTCAAAAAATTTCTGTTTCAAATAATTCCTTTGTTTGGAAGAAAGTCCTAGATTCAATCACCTACTTCCATTAGAGGATAAAAGAAACAACAAAGTTTTTAGAATCAAAGAATCAGATTTGATTTTTCCTTTTAGAAAACTAAAAATTAAGAAATCCGATTCAACCCCACATGTTACACTACAAGTCGTACATCAAAACTTTCCCACCTCATGTCAGAAATTAAAAAATAAGATGTTGTGGCACAAACCATGTGAGCCCAAGAATCCCCAGCTCCATTGTTTTTTCTGTCCCTTTACAGTTTTGCTTTTATCAACTGTTACCTCACTCTTTCCTATACATCCTCTCTCACTGTATATATAAACTCGGTCCGAGAGACTGAGGCTGCTTTTTGTTCAGTCCTCCCTCGTCTTTTTGTTCACTGTTTGGAATCGAAATCCGAGATGGGTTCTCGATTCCAAGCTTTGTTCTCCGTGATTTGCTTTCTGTTTGTGTTCCTACAACAAGGAAAAACAGAGCAGTTTTATAATGTGAGCAGCTTGAGGGGTAGAAAGCCAGCGGGTAGCTGTAATCTGTTTCAAGGCAGTTGGGTCGATGATTCTTCGTATCCTCTCTATGATTCTTCTAGCTGTCCCTTCATAGATCCAGAGTTCGATTGTCAGAAGTATGGTAGACCCGATAAACTGTACCTGCAATACAGGTGGAAGCCCAGCAACTGCGAATTGCCAAGGTACGTAAGAATCCATCAGTACATCTATTTCGGTACTTGCTTTTTGTTTTGAGCTTGCATCAATGGAGGTCTCTGTTTCTTCACTTCCATGGGTTTTGATAAATGGGTCCTGTTTATCTGTGAATACGTGTTTCACTGTTTCTATTCATCATGGCTTCCTGTAGGTTTAATGGGGTGGACTTTCTGACGAGGTGGAGGGGGAAGAAGATTATGTTCGTGGGCGATTCGCTGAGTCTGAACCAGTGGCAATCGTTAACGTGCTTGCTTCACGCTTCTGTGCCCAACGCCAAGACTACAGTGACGAGGAGCACGCCGCTCTCCTCTGTAATATTCGAGGTCAGCTCCTTCTCTTCTCTTCCCTAGCTTCTCTTTTTCTTTTGAAGTGGAGACAAACGGCCCACTTGCAGTCATTTTTCAAAAACAAAATCATTACTAGCCACAGTCCATGCCTTGTGCTTTTCAAATTCTGATTAAAGGATTTCTGATTTCAATCCTGTTTGGGACCTCCATATCTTTTTTCTCTAGATGAGATATATAAAAATTGATAATAATTGAGAATGAATTTGGACAAGACCCATATGAACTCATCATTTGTAATACATGCACCATCATTAAAGCAACAAAACAACTCTGATTTTGGGTTTCATATCTATTTTTCTTATTGTCTGAATTTTGGTTTTGAACATGGAATCCGAAATGAGATAAGGTGACTTTTCAAGGAATTTCAACCAAGAAAACTGTGCTCACTTTGGTCTTTGAATCGATAGTGATGATTTTCTTTTATCTGTTTCTTCTTTTTGTCGAGTAAAGTTGGAGCGGAACATGCAGTAATCTTGGTTTTCGTTGTGGTTTGTGAATCAAACTGAGCTCGGGATACTGTAATGTGGAAACTCACGCCGTTTCAAATAAATGGGGTTATTGGTTTCCTGTTTCCATGGTGAATGCTAATCTCTAACCTTTTCTCGAAAGGACTTGTGGAAATCCATTCCAGACTCCACTACTGCAATTCTAAGCCTAGGTTTAGATCTATGTACAGTTCTATAGATGAACCAGGGAATGATTTCCTTCTCTTTATGGAAGTAACGAAGAAGAAGAAAATAAGGATAGATTCAGGAGGGTGAATGAAAATGCCAAAAACGAAAAAGAACAAACGGAGAACAATTTGATTCTTCTGTTTTTGAAATCTAATCAGATGGATGAGAGATGAGCTTGGATTCTGAGGAGGGAAAAGAATTCCTCTTTTTGAAAGTTCGAAATTCTGAACCAAGCATGGTACACGCACACACAGTTCGGTGTTGTTGGAGTTTGGAGACATAGCAAGACATGGGCCCCACCGGATGAATGTGGGCCATGTGATTTTGTCACTTTGTGCGGTGATGATAACAGATCCATGTGGGGTTTACTACCTTATCTTACACACGGTCACATAGGGAGGTTTTTTTTCAATTTTCACTGGTGAATGGTGATTTGTTGCCCTGGGCCCCACCTCTCTGTGTATAACAGTAATTAACTGTCAAAGCAACTGCTGCTCCAACTGAGAGTGATTTGAGGGGGTTAAAAAAGGATGGAAAAGTGAGAGGGCTTTTTTGTAATTTCTGTGATCAACAGGGGCATTTTGCCAGTTCAGATATGCGCCCCACAGCACATTCCCACCGTGTATTGGAAACATTCCCGATGGCGATATCATCGATTTTGATACTATCATCGGGAGATGTTCCCAATACACGGCGGAAATATCCTGTGGGACGTTGTGAGGCGCAGATGTGAATTCCTGCATCCACATACTTTCGTTACGAATCGGGTCCCCCCACCTTTCTCCCTTTGCACGAGCTGTCAACTTCACTTTTCTGGTTGGTGGCTTGGTGCGAAGCCAAATAGCGACAGTTACTCTCGGGAACACCGAAACTGCCCCTATTTTACTCTTAAAATAACGAAAATACCTTTTCCCCAAAAATTATAGGGCTCCACCTCCACGGAAATGCCTGGGCCTGGCCCACGATGTCCCACTGTCCAGAATCTATTGCAGGTTTGCAGCTGAAAATTCCTCCCGTAACAGCTACGTATACTCCATGCATTTGACTTTTGATACAGACAGTTGATATGCTGTTTGGCAGGATTACGAAGTTTCGGTGTTGCTCTATCACACTACATACCTGGTGGATATTGTCCGGGAAAATGTGGGCCGGGTTTTGCAGCTGGACTCGATCTCGGCCGGTAATGCGTGGAAAGGCATGGACGTGCTGATCTTCAACACGTGGCACTGGTGGACCCACAGAGGAAGAAGCCAACCGTACGATCCGCTCGTCAAAATCCATCAATTTCATGCCCCTTGTTGTCTTGTCTTATTACATTTGAATTTGCCTTCAATCCAACGGTCTGTGTTTTGACAGGTGGGATTACATTCGAGATGGAACCTCATTGTACAAAGACATGGACCGTCTGATTGCATTCTATAAAGGGCTGATGACGTGGGCCAGATGGGTTAACTCCAACGTCGATCCCACCAAAACCAAAGTGTTTTTCCAGGGGATCTCTCCCACCCATTACGTGTAAGCATTTCTAAGTGGCAGTATTGATGTGAACAGACGTTGTTTTTCATACTCCCAAATGTACCATAATACAATTGGGTACGTCAAAGAAGTGCTGGCCCATAATTTCATGGGCTTCACAACGGACAGATTGGTCTGAGAGGAGGCCCATCCAGTAATACTCCTATTTCTCCACTCAGGGAGTTCAAAAGCTGAACTTTCTAATGTGGTAATACAAGAGAGAGCCCAGGCCCACTTGAGCCTATCCTTCTGCTTCTGGACCCTTTGCTTTTTATGTAATACTGTAATGGTTTGTAAACTTGTTTGCATGTTAATCAAGAAAACCATACTGAATTCATTGTTTAACAAACCAGAGGCAAGGATTGGAATCAACCATCTACAAGTTGCAGTGGCCAGATGGATCCGGTGTCTGGGGCAACATACCCGGCAGGCATACCTCCGGAAGCGATTGTAGTGAACAAAGTGTTAAGCCGGATTAGAAAACCGGTCTCTCTGCTTGACATCACTAGGCTCTCACAATTGAGAAAGGATGCACACCCCTCTGCCTACAGTGGTGAGCACAAGGGCATGGACTGCAGCCACTGGTGCCTTCCTGGACTGCCTGATACTTGGAACCTGCTCCTAAATGCAGCTCTCATCCTTTGAAGATGACAAACAATTGCAAACAAAAACTCATTGTTTGTATTAGGTGGAATTTTCTAGTTATTCTTTCTTTCCTTTTTCTTTTAAGTTACTTGTATTAGGTTAGAAAATAATAGGGATAATGCATCAAAGTTGTAAATTATTCAATCCCTGAAGTTGCTTGGAATTACTGTCAATTTCATTTCTTATGCAGAATTTTAAATGATACAAGTCCAAATTGGGAAGTTTGTTATATTGAATATGACTGTAAAAATTGAGTAGTTGAACTCATTTATTTATTTGTCTATTACATTAATGGCCTATATTGGGCTCAATGGTCCATTATGCAGTTGCACTGTGGCCATGGATTATGGATACACATATAACAGTGAATTTTTTTTTCCCACAAAGTGAAAGGAATTGAAAGAAAGAAAAGATGTGAAATTCTTTCTGTTAATATGGATAATACCTTTGGTTTATAAGCCTAAACAGCTAAAAAATTGAATTAAAAAGAAAAAAAAAAAAAAAAAAAAAAATTTTCTGTTAATATGGATAATACCTTTGGTTTATAAGCCTAAACAGCTAAAAAATTGAATTAAAAAGAAAAAAAAAAAAAAAAAAAAAAACTTTTGTTTACAAGCCTTGCAAAAGAGGAACTGAAAAAGAAAAAAAAAAGACCACATATCAAGCTAATGCAATGTGCTACTGAACAGAATTGAATTTATATTTAGCTTGGAGATCTTGGTGCATTGATGCTTTAATATGCTACATCCCTGTCTGCTGTCTACTCCTTCACCCAGAGTGTAAAATAGACTGATTTTTATTAAAAGGAACACTGCCTGGCATTTAACTCCCTGAGATGCATGCTATTATATCTAACCTGACTACAGGCATCTTAATAAGATTTCTTTTCTGGGATCAAATCATCATAGTCCATAAAACATCCTAACAGTATTGTCTATCCCAATTCTAAGTTGGTTACCTTGCTCAGATGTCTTTCCTGGGACCAACATCACCTTACTCCATCTAATCCTCAGTGGTGCCTATCCCCTTACTCAACTTGTAAAAGTGGGCAATAGTCACAAACATAAGCCTTGTTACTGTATATCTGCAACTCAAGATGGATTCCTCAAACCCAATACAATCCAAGAGAAAGGGTTCTCCCTGTTCCCTGTTTCTTGTACCCAATACCATCTAGACCCAAACCCATAGAGCTGATTAAATAGGAAATTTGGAGACTAAATCACCAAGAGCGAGTTTAAAGAGTTCATTTAGCATTTTTCCCAACACCAATGATCGATTTCTTCTATTCCATGGAGTATTACTCATCTTCTTCATGAAAATTTTGACATCGCTACCTCAATCAACTGCAGCTTTAGATGGATTCCAAGAGAACTAAATCAAATGGTAGATTCTTTTTAACTAGACCTGGTTTGGGAAGGGATTTTTTGTATAGTGCAAATTCTTTACCTGTTTGTTGTTTAGCCCTTGTTTGTACTTCTTCTCAGGTACATAATTCCCTTTTATGAATGAAAGTTTTCTTTTCTTAAAAAAAAAGAAAAAAAAATAAACTGCATGTATGTTGGCTCAATATAACAGCATTCAGTGTTGCCTTTATATTAAGTAACTTGCAGCCTAAAGATAAAGGTTTAAAGGGACATTGCTCGATGAAACGGTAAAATCCTGAGTTAACAAGTGTGAGAATGTGGTTTCAAGTGTAGAGATGTTAATTTATTTAAAAAAAAAAAAAAGCCACAGGTTAGACCCTATCCAGTTTATCCCTCCAAGACCCAGCTCTCTGGGGCCATCATTAGATAACAACCCTTTTGCTTAAAGACAATAATGGAGCAAACATAGGTGTGCATGACAAAGATGAACTCTCAATGCTATACTGACTAGCATTCAACTTTGAAAGAGAATTGAAAGACTATTCTTCCAAGAAGTGGAAGCATGCTTATAAAACTCTGAAATAGATGGGAAAAGAAGACTAATAACCAACATAAACTGCGGCATTGACAACATAACAGTCATCATTCTTATCTCCCATTTCTTCCACACATACACCACTTGAGCATACAAGTCCACCATCCACAATGTCAACATTCAAAATTTTGCCACTGAAAACATAAAAGTAGATACATATTTAAGTAATATTCTTGTAAGAAGTTCCTAATTAGTGCCATTTTTAAGACAGTTATATAAATAAATCAGATACTTTCAAGTAATACATGTTCACAGAATAGAAGTATAATCACCGGCCAAACTTAATTTCAACTGCATGCAAAAGGGAAATAGGAATTAGAGTACAAGGCTATGAGGACATCATTAGTTGAAGTTTTGAATTGATGTTATCACACACACAGTGTTTTACTCACACCTAACATGTATAGTTAACTAGAAAAAGCTTTCAAAGGTGTTGGAGGCTTGGAGCTCAGAAGTTCGAATTCTGATTTTAACCATCTAAGTAGAATCTGTGGAATGAGCGTAGAGAGTTTGTATGTATGATGAATATCAAATAAAAGGCCAAAGGACCTAAAAATGCAAAATAAAGCTCAGAAATTTTAATTTTCCCCCTCTGCAAGAAACATACATGCTCAAGTATCAAACTCATATCCTAATAAATTGGGGTACAACTACAACATGAGAGAGGAATCTTGGATAACTGACCAAAGTGAAATTATAAAGGAAGAAAGGAATGCTAATTCATAAAATATATTAAAGGATAACATTAATACCATGGTTTTCGAACCGCCGTTGACCCAGACGGTCGGACCGTTCGTCCTGGGAGGAACCGTCCAGGCAACCGGTTCTGTTTTACCCCAAACCTGGTCCCTGGCCAAAACCGTTGAATCAGTCAGCAACCCGTTGACCCGGGCGGTCAAACTGTTGACCCGTTCAACGGTTTTTGGCGATTTTTTAATTTTTAATTATTTTTTTTAATTTTTTGTCAGAACGGACCGTCCATTCAAACCGGACGGTTGAACCGTCAACCCGGAGACCGGTGGCCAGAACGGTTCTGTTTCCGGGTCGTTTTTTAAACCATGCATTATACTTGTATTACTACAATTCCCTTCCATCCAGTTCACACATGCAGGGCATTCAAGATGAACCAATTAGAGGAAAGAAAGACTTCTATCTGGAGTTTGAATTAAACAACTAGCTATGATCCAATGGAACTGCTTTTGGGCCATTATATTGCAGGCAATACATCACAGACACATTTAGATTTAGGATAAGAAATTACAGCTTCTGGACTTCTTTTGTCTTGAAGATTCATAAATAGCATCTAACATTGGAAAAAAACTGACGGTCTATCCCTAAGTTTAAAACTCACAAGGACAATTAAGAATCATATAATTGAGAAACATTTCTAGTTCTTTAATAAACTTCTGATTATATTTTCAGATAAAGGAATTATTTTCCCAAGTATAGAATATTTTGATAAGCAACAGATAATTTTCCCAAGTATAGATTCAACAAATATAAAATTAAGATAAGTACATATGGAGCTGTAAGCCTGTAACTACTTACTAAGGGAAGACAGATTTAACTCTCTCAATATCCAGAAATTGTTGGAGTTGTCTAGGAACTCCAAGCTTGATCTGAAGCTTCATCTGATCAAATGCAACACCAGGTATGGAGCCTGCACCAATACCTTAGAAGTTAGAACGTCTTAATTAACCAAACCAATTTCTTAAATAGAAGAACCAAGTTAAATTCTTTCTGAAACCCAATAAAATACGGGAACTTCAGATCTTGAAACATGGTAGAACTTATTACAAACAACGAAAAACCAAAAAAGTGATATCAAGACCAAGCATAGCTACGAATAAGATCATCAAAAAACAGAGAAAAGTTGAAAAGGGTAAAGCATACGGTGCAACAAAGCTGCAATTAACAAAGCCAGTCAAAACCCAAATAACAAAAACAACAAAAGTAGGAGTCCCTCATCCCGCCTCAAGATCCATCTTCAAAAACAAAACCCACATGAATTACAATATATTCAAACCCTCCCCACCGAAGTCTTACCAATAGCTCAAATACCAAAAAGCAGGCAAACTTCTCACACCCGCAACACGAAAAAACAAGTTCTAAGAAGAAGGAAACCTCTTCGGAAAGCAGGAATTGAATTGGAAGAGATTGCATCTCTGCATGCCCGCATTGCTGCCGCCGTGATGTCTTGCCTGAGCATTTTATTTCAGATAGAAAGGAAGTAATACCTAAGTGATTCTGTAACAAAATTTCAGCTGAAAATTGATAATAGAAAGAAAAGAATAGAGAACTGGACATACCCATGTTGATCATAGCCAACACCCATCTCGACAAACAAGAGTTTCATTGCCGGAACTACCCCGCTGGGAATATTCTCGCTCTGCTGGCCTTCCATGGCTGCTGCAGCTACAATGCTCGACGACAGTCGATGAGATCGAATAGAGAATCGAAGTGGAAGAAAGCGGTTTGTAGCAGAGAAATAGTGGTCTTTGCAACGACCATCACGGAGATAAAAAGACGGCGAGTTGAGGACGGAGAGTGTTGTCATCTCTCTCCACTGATATTCTCAATCTTGGAAGGCCCACTCCGGACTCCGCCACACGGAGCGCGCTACCGCTACTAGTTGGGGGTGCAACTTGGGCGGGCCAGACCCGAGCACGAACCGGCCCAATCCGAAATTATACACGGATTGGGCTTGGATATTCGGTCTTCGGGCTGAGCTCGAGCCTAAATAATTTGGTTTTTTATTTTTCGGTTCAGATCCGGACCTGGCCCTTATATATATATAGTGGAGGCTGGGCTTGAATTGGAAAAATTGGGCTTGATCTCAAACTCGGTCCAAGCTCAGGCCTTAAGCCCAAATTTTAGGACTAAACTCGAATTGACCATAAACCCAACCTAACTAGCCCGGCTTATACCCTTACTCCTAGTTTTCAACTCTATACCTTCGTTAGTTAAAGACTAGAGCAAGCAATATCGGGTCGGATCAGAAAATGCTAGACCCTAACCTTGACCCTAAACATTCATGTTAGATCGTTAGGGTTGCCCATGAATCAGATGGGTCAATCGTTTAACTATTAGGATCATCTGGTCTTTCATCAAGTCAACGTTTTTAACCAAAAATATGGTTTTAATGGTCTAGTTTGGTCTAGTTTGAATGGTTTGGACAGTTTAATCATTCGAATTAACGTTGATTTGAAAACGTTGGTTTAAAAAGATGTGGCCTAGCACCGACAGTGACCCATGACCCAATTTGACCCAACCCAAAAGGAATTCAGGTTGGGCCATATCATGATACCATCCTAATTGTTTGGGTCGCTAAATAGGGGTCCTGATAGGAATGGCAACAGGGCGGGGATCATATTCCCCATCCCTGACCCCAATTATGAAATTAACCCCATCCTCGTCTCTGATCTTCATTGGGATAAAATTTGTCCTCCTTTTTCGATTCCCGATGGGGATGGGTTCTTTGTGGGGACCTAAATCCCCGAAATTTTTTTAGATAACCGTATTTTTTTTGAAAAATAAATTTATTTAAAATAAATAAATAATGTTTTGATATATAGAAATAATATATATATATATATTTAATATAAATAACATTTAATATATATAGAAATAATATATAATATAGATAACATTAAATATATATAATCGAGATCGGATCGAGGCGGGGATCTCAATCCCCATCCCTAACTCCATCAGGTCTGGGAAGTCAGGTCCCTGTTGAAGATGGAGAAGATTGCCATCCCTAGGTCTTGACCCACTTTTTTGGGTTGGTTTTGCAAGTTGCGTCAACTTTTTCCAAGTCTACTTTTAAGGCTAATGGATCTTTGCACGCATTGAATCCAACTGCACATTATGAATATTTTTCATACATGTAAGAGCTATTCATATGGTTATATGCCCATATTTTTCAAAGTCTATGTAGAGTTTTGTAGGAGATTTGGGGCTTATTCGTTTGCTCTGAACTCTAACATCTAAAAGTGCACATTAAAAGGTATATTGGTATTGGTGAATTTTTCTTTCCTCTGAACTTTGAATGTAAATGTTGTTCTGAATTCTAAAAATTGTCAAATATCCATTTTGACTCTATATATGAGAGCTTTTATTTGTCTTTTTGGGGGTATCATTGGAGAACAAAAAGTTATATGATTGTACTTCAAAAGATAAGAAATAAGAAGAAACGAACAACCATTTTTCTTTTAAAGTTAAAAGATTCCTCTTAAGATATAAGAGTTAAGAGGAAATGAACAGGCCCTAATGAAAATATGTCATTCCAAGGTTCATAGTATCAGAAATGCTTAGGTTGGTTTGATACACTCTGTATTGGGATACATCTAAAATATCCATGTGTATTGAAGAAAATTAAGATATGCATTGAAACATTATAAATAGTTTATTAAATCATGATAATATATCAATAACACTAAATATAAGGCCTTAATGAGGTATACATATATTAAATAAATATATTTTAATGGGTTTTATGAAGAAATACATCGTAGTCAATTATAATTTTCATTAAAAAAACCCTATGCTTAACTATAATTTATAAATTATAATTCTTAAATTTTAAGGGATGGGAAAAGCCCAATTATTCTATCCAACCATAAAACATGAATTTGCATAACTTAAAAGTGAAAATATAATTAATAATTATTTCTCATTTAAATATTTAATATCGATTTTTTAACTTCAATAATTAAAAAAAATAAAAAATATATAAACACTGTATAATATATTTAAAAGTAATTATTGAAGAAGAAATTTCAATTGCTCTATGGATATGATAGATCATTGATAGATCCATATTAATTGATTTTCAATTTTTAAAATATAAAAAAGTCTTGAAGAAATTTCAATTTCTATATGGAAATGATAGATCATCAATAGATCTAAAACATATTAAGTCTTTATAGGCATATAAAAAAAGACATTTTCAATCTTCTTGTTAATTTATATTTTCCCAAATCTCTATAAAATTTCCATAGATATACACATAACACTAAAAAAAATTGTGATTTTCAACACAAAAAATGTATATCAACATAGATTTAAGAATTTTTAAGCATTCAAGGAAAAAAAAGAAACAACAAGATATTATGAAAAAAAATTAAAAAATACCTTTTTTGCAATATGTTTCAAAACATGAAAAATCTTTAAAAACCTTGATGATTCACACTTGTTTCTTATTTTATTTTTCTTTTCTTTTGAAAATCTAACACTCTCGGAATGATGTTTGGAGGCTTAGAGTCATTTGAGAGGGGGGTGAAAAAAAAAGGCTTATTTTGGGGGAAAGAGAAGCCTTCTTTTCCCTTTTTTTTTCGTTTTTTGTTTGAATATTTTTTGTAAGGTATCGGTCGAACACCTGATATGCCATCGATATACTACCAATACACCCCGATATCAAGAATACCATGTTGAAATTTTAAAACGTTTGTCATTCTAATGCTATTGGGCTAGATTATCTTGGAGGTTAGTGCATGAAATCCTTTTCTTAGGAGTTGTTTACTTTCATATCCATTTATTAGAAAAGCATGGGTTTAGTAAGACATTTTTTCTTGAAAATGGGGACAATACATTTATTTTTACGTTAGATAGCTAGGTGCCACATAGACCAAACAATAAAAAAAAAAAAAAAAACACTTTGCCATTGGGGGGAGTTCTAATCTAGTCCCAATACAAGTCCCAACAACCATTGCAGCCGTGCATTGGGAACATTTCCCTTGTCATTCATGGTTAAATGTTTCATAGACAACTTCAAGGGTTGTTGGGACCCTACGTTGGAACCTGATCCGGATTCCATTTGAAGAAACCATCATTTTGACATTCATTTCAATGAATGGCTCTCATACAAAAAAAAAAAAGAAAAGCATTTTCTTAAACAACTTAACCAAACAAAATTTCAAGCTCCATTAAGGGAAATGCCTATTTGGTGTTGAGCTTAGTGCCAATTTTAAATAAATGGCAATCTTAATCAACCTCAAACCAGTTAAATGTGAAACTCGTTCAATAGGGGGTCCTGGTTCTTTGGGGCCCAATGGTCTAACAACTGAAACCTCCAGTGGACCATTTTAGCATGAGTTCCACATTTAGGTGCAACTCTAGCTGGTAGTAATATAGTCAGTTATGGGGGCCACAACCAACCTAAGCCCAAAGGCTTAAGGCCCATACCAAACTCAAGAATCAAGTTGCTAAGTATACCCATAAATGTGATAAATTGTTAATGAGTAAACTGATGAAACTCAAGTTGGTTTGTTGGGTTATATACTTATTTTACGACTTGTGCATCGTAAAAAATTCAAGCCTTATAGTTGGACGCAAAAACTCTAGTTCGGTTGGACTACCCAAATTACAGGCCTTATTTTGATTAAAGGGTAAACTAGCGGAGTTACCTGTGCTAAGCACGGGATTGCATATTTGTATATATATATATATATGTATATTTTGTTTTAAGTGTATTGTTTGGTTTTGCTTAGTATTAATTGATACAATGACAATTAATTGAGCAATTTAATTTAATGTATGAGATTTTGGGAGTATTAATTGTATCTGATTTATGTAATCATATGTAGCATTATAGGTAGAGAGAGAGAGAGAGAGAGAGGGAGAAAGAGAGATTTTAATTTGGTACATAAGAGTGGTTTGAATTCTGTTTGCTGAGCTTGTGGATCTGTTGATTATTCAATTATTGATTTTCCTTTGTTGCTTTTTCCTTCATCTTTGATTGGTTGTGTATCCGGGTAAGATTAAATAAAAAATTATTATTAAATTAATTTAGGTAGTATTTCAATTTATGAAGTTATTGAATATATATGATGCTGAAAATGCATGTGTTTAGAGTTCTTATCTTTTGTAGCTTCATTATTACTGTTATTAGATTTGATAGTTGCAATTTTAGTAAGTAGCCTTGTTGATTCTTGAGCCCAATTCACATCAAAGATTAAGATAACTATGGGCATTGTTTGTCGAGGAGGTTTAGTTAGTAAGATGTGGTACTTCCATAAGCAAGACTTTATTAAACGTGGAAACTCATCATATTCATCCTCCTGTAATAAATTTTTTGTTATATATTATGAAGATATTATTCTAATGATGTTGTTGATGTAAAAATGTTGTTATTTTTCGAACAAAGAATTTTACTAGACATACCTTGGAGAGTATTTGTTTTAATTCCGATACAGTCATTCCCATAATATTTTCAACTTGCTTGTCAAATACAATAAAATTTTGAGTTGTTGTTGGATCTTGACAAGTGATGGATATTTTGTATCTGCAATTAAACATAGTTGTTAGTATGACATAATTTAGATATATTAAGAAGATAGTTTGTATTTCGAAATTTACCTTGTGATTGTGTTGATGTATTTTTGTTGACAGTTTGGACAACTGAAAATTTCATTTAATTCAAGTGCTTTTTTTTTGCAATTTTTGCAAGCTCTCATACCAAAATCCACGATCAACATCAATAGATGTGATACATACAAAGATATGATACCTGATTTCGTGGTTTTATTTTTGTTGTATTAATGTTTTGAATTCGACAAGGCTTATATATTTTCCTAATGACATTTCTTGAGTTGATGAAGTAGCAATTTTTTATTGTTTGAATTT